TGGGACCAAATCTTAGCAACTGGTTAGCTGAGGTTCTTTTTTTTTGTTTTGGTACCAGGCAGTGAACTTGGGACCTTGCATTTGCAAGGCAGGTGGTGGCACCACTGAGCTAAATCCCCAGCCAGAGATTCTGTCTTTAATAGCCAGAGGTGAGATGTTGAACTTTTAAATTCACTTTCTGGACTTCAGGGTGGCTTACAGCAGTGACCCCAGCCATGAAAATTCCCTTTCCTTTGCCCTGTGAGATGTTCAGAATGTCAGGTAGGAAATCAGAGGAGTGAGAAGGGGTTTACAGGGAGGTAAAAGTCATCAATGGCATCGAAGACAGTATGTTTTTACTTTTAAAATTTAGGCTTTCAGAAACCACAGACAGTATGTTTGTTACCTTTGACGAATTATTCTTAGTGCAAATCACCCTTACTCATTAAAAAGGAAAAGGTAAATTTTGGATACTTCCTAAGAAGAGTGTCTCAAATCACTCTGTATGGTTGTGAGTAGTTTATGAAGTTAATTTGCAATGCAAATTCGTCTCATTCTTCTGCCCTATAATAATTTGAGCTTATAAATAAATTTATAAAATACCCTTTGAATATGCTGGGAGAGTTTTCTTTGTAGCTTTCCTGTTCTGTCTTGCTAGACTAATGCCAAAAGATTGTCTTCCTTGAGTGCAGAGCTCTGGTAAGGGCAGAAAATTAGGGAGGGCTGGGCAGCCCAGAAGCAAGCTGGACAAGTAGAATGGGAACAAATAGTCACAATGGAACATGCAGAGCTGATCTTCACTGATAAACTGGAGCAAACCCTCTGCACTAGCTAGCCACTAAGAGAGGTTGTCAGAAGAGCAGATTTTGATCACTATGAACACACAGGGTGCAGGCCTGGTCCCAAGAGGAAAAGTAAACACAGCCTTGAGATCTGCTTCCAGGACAAAACTTGGGATTAAAAAAATGCTATGTATGATGCCTGATTTTATGTAGAAAATCTTTCAAGGGAATGGATTTACAACCCCACATTACATGACTCATAGTTTCACAGATGATTCCACATTCACTTATCAAGCAAATGTTTATTATTAGCTTCGTACCCTAGATGTTGTGCTGCTAAGTGCCAAATTTACATAATAGAGCAGAACCGCCTGGGATTCTAGTTCTCAAGTCCCTTAAAAACTAGTAAGAGAGCTGGATAAATAGGCTCAAGGGTACTGGTGCTGTAACAGGTGTAGCAGTTGTTGGATACTGGGGGGATAGAGGAGAGATATCCAGCTCTGACTAGGAGATCAGGGAAGGCTTCCTGAAGGAAATGATGCTGAAATTGACAACTGAAAGATGAGCAGAAGTGAGCTAGGCCATAGGAGAGGGGTGGGAGGGCAGGGAAGAGAATTTTAGGCAGAGAATGAGATGAATCTCTTCTGGGACATAGGAATATATTTGTCAACTACGGTAAATATTCAATTACTTTTGCCGTTAGAGTTGTCTGTCAGTGCTGATAACCTCCCAGCACATCTACGCCAGGCAGGGCTGACAGATACCCTGGACTGGGGTTTTCAAAGTTATCTGCTGGTTCTTCAGTTCTGGAAGGTCTGGAAACTTCTCACATGACTTTTGTGGCTGAATGTTTTTTGATATTTTCCAGGTAAACTTTTAAAATTTTAGAACAGTTTGAGGTTGTTATTTGATTTTAACTTTGTATTTCAAAATGTTTTCAAATTTACAGAAAAGTTTCAAGAACAAAACCTGCCCAACTCATATAATCACTTTACCAACTGTTAACATTTGTTTTATATATCTATCTACTTATATATATCTGCACACCCTCCTCTTTATCTTATAACAGTTGTTGCTGTTATGTTTGCCAGACATTTGAGACACCATACCTCTTTCTCCTGTGATGGTTAAGCTTAATTTTCAACTGGATTGGTGTGAGAGCCACTTAAGGGATTAGTAAAGCTCCCTTCTGGGTGTGTCTGGGTGGGTCATGGAGACATAACCCGGGGGACTATAGCTAGTTCCTGGCCCCTTCCTGATCTGCTTCTCAGCCACCATGAACTAAGCTGCCTTGTTCTACGAAGCCCTTCCACCATAATGTTTCTCCCTTGGCGCCTGCTCATCATGGCCTGAATCCCCTGAAATTGTGAGCCAAATACATCATTTCTTTCTTTAGGTTCAGGATGTTGGGTATTTGGGCCCAGCAACCAGAGAGTTGACCAATACCTCTCCTAAATACTTTAGCTGATATCTGCTGCTAAGAACAAGGATATTCTCTTACAGAGCCCCAGTACAATGATTGAATTTAGGAAAACTAACATTGATATTACACTGTTATCTAATATATAGTCTATTTTTATCAGTTGTCTTGATAACATCCTTATTATATCTTCCTGGTTCCCCAGTCCAAGATCATACTTTGCCTTTAGCTGTGATGTCTCTTTGGTCTTCTTCAATCTAGACCATACATTAGCTTCTTTGTGTTTTATGCTTTGAGATGTTTTTGAAGAATATAGATTAATCATTTTGTAAGACGCCTCTTACTGTAGGTTTGTTTAGTGCTTCTTCTTGATTAGATTCAGTTTATGCATTTTTAGCAGGACAGAGATATTGTGTCTTTTTTTCAGAAGATTATATCAGGAAACTCATAATGTTAGTGTGTCTTATAATTAATGATTTAAACTTTTATTTTTAGCATGTTTTATTTTACTTGTTATTATTTATTTACTTATTTTGAGTCTCACTATACAGCCTAGGCTGGCCTCAAATTTGCCATCCCACTGCATTAGCCTTCCCAGTAGCTGAGACTACTGTACATGGTTAGTATATTTTAAACTGCAACAAAAGTGTATATATCCAAATGTGTTTCTATTCAAATTTTATCATAAAGGAGATTTTATTTATTTATTTATTTTTGGTGCTGGCATAAAGGAGATTTTAAATGGGCTAAACTGCTCTAGATAACTTTGTTTGAATGAAGACCTCAGTATTTAGCCTCTCCTGCCATTTCTGCATGCATACTTGAACTTTATATAGATGTGTTACTGATTAATAAGGGTGTAGCTGTACACTGACCTTTAAAAAGGCTGACAGAAACTGTATGAATAACGAATTATTGCTGACCCATATGAATCAGAATTTCCTTGATACTGTACAACCAAAACAACATACAAAAGTAAACCGGAATCTTGAAGTTTATTTAAGTCAATAGTGAGTCTCATTGGAGAGATTTAAATTCATCAAAAGAGACTCATTTGTCTCAGTGCTTGACTTTATACTAATTTGGGCTTAACAATAGTTAATAAAACACCCTTTGTACATATTATTGGCTGTATTTTATAGTTTGGCTTCCAGTACAAAATACTGATAACAAAATTTTCTTATTTTGACCATTTGAAAACCACATAGTCCCCCACTAGACCTCCTACCTCCGGGAAATTTCTGCATTTCTCTCATCATCTGCAGGCCTTGATGTTTCTTTTCCTTGTGCCTGGGATTTTGTCCTGATTCTCAATAATCCCAGAACTCAGGGAACATACATATCCACTTACCAGTGGGTTTTGAGGTATATTCCTTGTTTACTCTGAAGTGCACAGAGTTTGAGATCTATTTCTTTTCCTTTTGGGATTCAGTTCTGCTGATGTTAAAGCACAGCAGTATGAACATTTTAGGAATGCAGACACACTTCGCAATTGCTCACTTAATCACCACCTGACCCACACAAATGACTCAAGCACAGGACAGTCCTACCTTGGAAGTGTGTAGCCCAGAGATCTTATTTCACAAATGAGGATTGTGATCCAGCAGGTGTCTTCTATAGAAGGAAAGCTGCTAATGGTAGTCAGACTGCAACTTGGATAGCTCTGTCTATGCCAGGGCCTGGAGCACCTTTCTCATAGCAGAAGAGCTCCCTTAAAGGTGATCAAGCCACCTTCTTCTCTCTTGGCAAGTGTGGGTTGCTGGCAGCTGAAACAGGCCTGGAGCAAGGTCTTTCAGTGTAGTTTACTCATCTCAAATTCAGCCACAGAGCTGAAGCCCAACCAGGTCCTTGGAGGCCTCTAGATTTCCTAGCAGATTTTGCAGCAGAAGATGGTCCTAATGGAAACACAGGACTGGAGAGGAACAGATGCCTTAGGGTATCCTTTGTATTTTCATTAGAAAATGCATTCTGTGCTCTACAAGAATTCTCCAAGTACGTTCAATGTATCTGTGATTTGGATACCACTTACAACTCATTCCATTCCATGGAACTAGGATGGATTTCATATTTATGTGCACAATGCACTACAATAGCTGTTTGGTAGATGCCGGGGGAGGGGGGGCATACCAAGAAGTTTAGGACATAGTCTACAATAATCCTGGAGAGATGATACATCGGTATACTAAAAACTTAATAACACAGGGTAAGGTCTGATGGCACACTCAGATGAGTGGAGAAAGTGGACCACGGGGAACCGTAGCAGCCAACCATCCGGGCTGACCGCTGGCACTCTGAAGTCAAAAGACTGCATGAAGTTGCTGCTTGTCCACTTCCTAGCTGCATGGCAAGTTCTGTAAGGCACTCAGAAGAGCTTTAGGCAATTTTAGTGCCCTTAGAATGTTAGTTTGAACAATCGCTTCAGGGATGGGTGGTGCGTGAGCACACGAGAAGGCGCTTCGCTGCAAGGTGACAGAGTTATAATGAATAACACTGGCCCAAAACTCCACAAACTACTTTTGTGACTGTGGGCCTCAGCCTTAGAAACTTGATTCCACCTAGGGTCTTTTACGGCCACAACACTCAGACGCCCGAGATCCCAGAGTCTGTCCCTAGGGGGCGCCGCTGCCCAGTCACTAGGGCCGGCCCGGCGCGCGCCCCCGCCCCGCGCGTGCGCGCCGCCCAGGTGAGGAGGCGGTGGCTGTGCCGCGGCGGGGGCGGGCTCCTCCGCGGGGCGGAGCCGGAGAGGCAGGCAGGCGGGCGGGGCCGGGATCTCACGGTCAGAGGCGGGACCAGCCGCCGCCGTCTCCGTCTCTGTGTCCCGGCTGCGGGAGGAGCGGAAACGCTGGGTACGCGCGTCCGGAGTCGCGCCGGCCCAGAGCGCGCCAAGGAGCGGCCGGGTGGCCTCCGTCGCGCCCGCAGCCTCCGAGTGGCGAGCGGCCCCGCCCGAGCTCGCCGCGGCCCCCGGCCCAGCCCCTGCGGCCCGAGCCGCCCACCTGAGCCCGCTGCGCCCACCTGAGCCCGGGCACTGGCGCCATGGCGGAGCAGGAGAGCCTGGAGTTCGGCAAGGCGGACTTCGTGTTGATGGACACGGTCTCCATGCCCGAGTTCATGGCCAACCTCAAGCTCAGGTGAGGGCGGAGCGGCGGCGTGCAGGGGCTCGAGGCTGGGCATTCCCGGGAGGGGCGCTCCCCGGGTGTGGCCAGATTCGGGGTGACAGGGTTCTGCCACGCTCTTTGGTCGCTCTTTCCGTGGTGCCGCCTTGGGGTTAAAGGGCGTGCCGGGATCGAGGGCTGCTTTCTCCAGAAGGCGGGGTTCGTCCCCGGGGGTTGTCTAGCTTGGGGGTGTGAGGGTCACGCTGAGCTGGAGGTGCTCTGGGGGCGGCGCACCGGCCTGCACTGCAGCAGGTAAGTGAAGTGGGCGGGGCCGGTGACTTCATGGAAACCAAAGTGAAGGAAAAGAAAAACTTTAGGGAGAGTCCTGGTGTCCCCGATAGCCTTGAGGAAGACTGCAGAGCTGTTTTGGAGAGGGCCTGGCATCTCCTCCCTGTTTCATATTTGCTGCTTTGCTTGCCTGCTTGCTTCTTTTTTCCTGGCCTTGTTCCATCATGTCATTCAGGATGCTATGGAGTGATCTCGAGCTGCCTGCCTGTTCCGGGACACCGGCTATTTTTTAGTTACTGGCGAAACGTAATTAGGACACGTTTCCAGACATCGAAGAGACTGCTGTGCTTGCCAGTGCCAAGATAAACTGTCTGAATTTGACAAGGCACTCATGGTTTCAGTTTTTTCAGGGAGTTATGGATGGAGTCCTTGTGTTACTGACATCCTTGAGAATGCAGTCACAACTCAACACCCTGAAGTGGGCTTCCAAGAAGAATTTGTGTTATAGTCTTCTACGTGTGATTATTTCATTCTTGATAGAGTAATACAGCCTTAAAGCAGTTTGACTTTTTAAAAATTACCGTAAATGGAGTTTCAAAAGAGCAATGGGGGGGGTCCTGGAAGCTTTGCCTCATTTCTTGTAAAATTTATAGCTAAACATTACTCCTTAAATTTATAAAGTGAAAGTCATAATCTAGGTTTGGATGCTTCACTAACTCCACTTCTCAGTATTAGTTACTGCTGTCAGCCCTAATTTAAGAATTAAGAAAAAAACCTAGTTTAATCTTTGAAATTGCAAAACACACAGAGCCTTCATCTGTTCTCGATCAGACTTTGTTATGTACCTGAGCAAGACTGCAGACCTGAGTTCTACACTTGCCTGTCACAGATTGACCATGAGCTGGCTGGTTGGGTCTCTGTTCCTAATTTGTAAATTAATGAGGTTCTCCAAGATTTCCTTCAGTGTTCATTCTGTTATTCCAAGTTTTCCAAAGATAGGCAGTTTCAAAGTTGCACAGTATCTTTCTGAATAAAGTGTTGCATAGTAGTATTCAAATTGTCCCTCGGGGGATTGCTTCTAGCACTTCCTGTAGAATCTAAAAATTGAGGATGCTGAAATCTCTTATATATAATGATGAGGTTCAGTACTCCCTTCATTTCTGCAGGGGATGTGTTCTAAGACCCAAAACCTCGAATAGTACTAAACCCTATATATACTATTTTACCTATCCAAAATACCAATGATAGTTTAATTTATAAATTAGGCACAGCAAAAAATTAATAATGACAATAAAGTGGAACTGTTATAACAACGTAATGTAATAAAAGTTCTATGAATGTGGTCTTTCTCAAAATATTGTACGATACACTTCTTGTTGAACACAGATAACTGCAGGAAGTGAAATTTCGGATAAAGGGAACTGCTGTATTTCCTATAACCTATGCATATCCTTCTATAGACTTTAAATCTCTACTTATAATATGTAGTGTAATATAAACCCTGTGTAGTTAGTTATACTGTATTACTTAGGGAATAGTGACAAGAAAAAGTTTGTACATCTTCAGCACTGGCACATTTTTTCCCCCAATATATATATA